AAGAATCTGACATCACAGCACATGCTGTGCCACTTCAGTAAACCTAATAAATACATTCAATACAAATAAATAGATGCACAATTTATTCACTGTAAAGAACAAAACTTAACAGGCCAACTGTTAAGAAAACATCAATAAAATATCTGATCTTAAAGTCCCCTTCCAAAGTATTTTTTTTAGAATGTGTGACTTCCTTAGAAGGCTTCAGCATCAAGAGATGGCTGAAGTCTTCTGGTGCTTCACTAAGAATGTGATATTCTGCTAGAAAACCTATTCTGGAAAGTTGGCAGTTTTGTCCTAAGAAGCCTTACTCAGAAACTCACGTTGATTTGGGCATTTCAAGTAAAGGTGCTGCTAGCAGCCAGCCCAGTGCTTTTAAAAGCCTCTTAACATTCTGCTGAACTACCAGTTGGCTCAGTTGCCTATGGATTCTGTGTATGTTTCTGTTCGGTGAGAAACAAATCCAGGCACACAAATCCCTAGCACACAGACACCCTGGGAAGAAATAATACATTGAGATCCTGTGCTAAATAGAAGAATAGGGGCTTGGGGGTATTTTTGTTTTTTACAGTGACCTTGACTAATACAAACTACAACATCAGCAGTGGGAAGAAAAAGACATTTTGAATGTACAATGCACTCTTTCCATTCTGAGGTGGCACTTTGAGCAATCAAGAGACTCCCTTTAAAAATTCCATCTTATTTTCAAGCATATTTTACGTTTAAAATCTCACTCGAGGTTATAGATATTTTTTCCCCAACATGAGCAGTAAAACACTGTAAAAAAAAACAAAAAAAAACCAACAATCCTACATACTGCCACAAACACAGGCATTAGAGACTCCAAAGAAGATTTGCCAAAGCATAATTCAACCACTTGAAAGCAGGATTTCTCTTTTCAACTTAGTGGTAACAAACCAGCGCTAAATGGACTTCTTGAAACAATACGGTCTGCCATATGGCTAAAAGTGGATATTAAAATTGAGAATATCAATTACCAATCCACTAATGCTGAGAGCCAAAATCCACGGACAGTAAGAATTTAATCCAATTCAGTGACTACAGCACGAGCCAAGCCTGACATACAGGAGACAAATCTACTGCTGTTCTCCCAGGCAGCGAGGAGCTCCACTTTCCTACTGCAGCAACTACAGAACTAAATAAATGCAATGCTTTCTCAGTATTCCTAACTAAAGCAGTAGGCATAAGAATCTGCAAAAGCAGCATCAGTTCCATATGAACTGCATCTCATTTCACACTGAGATTGAGAAACCACAACTCCTAAGAAGAAACAGTTAACACTGAGTTGTTTCCCACATGACCAAACCGAAGCCTCCGAGCACCATGACTTCCTGGTATGACGTACTGCAGTGACATCAGCCTGCTTCATTTCAAGAAAAAGCATCCTAAAAACACAAGAAATATATAGCTACTATAATTAAACGATCTCAGAAGTAATTGCATTAATTGAAACATTTTCTTATTCTCAAGATATTAGTTTTAATTGTTCCAGTTTCAAGTTTTAATAGCTGTAGAATGCTTATTGTTGGATGATATTAAGAATATAGCTACACAAAATTCTACATTACTGCTTCATTAACCTGAAACTAAATTGTATTTGTTACTTACACGTAAAGATAAATTCTCATTAAGTCTAAATACAACATTTTCAGATTTCCATCTCCTAGGATTTACTGTGGAATCCTGGATTTGCACACTGTCAGAAATGCCATGGCAGGATGCCTGCTATGTACTGACCTAGCAGCTGTGCAAGGACCAGACTTGCATACATGTAATTTATCCTAAGATGAGATCTCACTTCCTTCTACCCTTTCCAATCCCATGCTGAAAGGCCAAAGTACTACTACCAAAAAAACCCACACAGTTAATTTCAAGTACATCAGCACCTTAGAAGTACCAAGCAATGGAACTACCAGTCTACTGGAGAAGCATTCTGATTAATATTTCATTCCTGACACACCACAGGAGCAATATGCATTTGGATGATTTCACCTTTCATTATTCCCCCCTAACAAACACCACCACAAAGGAACCAACCACACAACCCCCAGCTGCAAAGTGGGCCTTCTTTCTGTATGGAGGACAGCAGGGCTACGGCTGTTACAGTAAAGTAATAAACCACTGGTTTATATACCAAGTCAAAGATAAACACTACTAGGAAGCTTGATGTTACCAAGGGTTTGGAGGTCATCTGAATCCAGGAGACAAAACAGACATTTCTTCTTTTTTCCTACTGGGTTCTGTATTATTTTAAGCCTGAGCCCAGTATATACATTCTTTGGGCAGCCTGGTCTGGTGGTTGGCAACCCTGCACATAGCAGGGGGGCTGAAACTAGATGATCATTCTGGTCCTTTCCAACCCAGGCCATTCTAGGATTCTATACCAAATACTAACCAAGCTATTTTATTTAGGTTGCCAAAGTTAAGAAGCTTGGAAGCATGCTGAAATCTCACCAAAATTATCAACTGAAAGTCCTTAAAAAATTTCAAAACTATAATTTCATAAATCTCTATAATATCTTACAATACAGTATCTCAGAGACACAGAATTGTTTTAGTATCTCTGTAGCCTTTCTTGCTCTTAAGAATAAAAATAAGAACATACATACAGAAGTATGGCAACAAATTTGGGCCAAAAACAGCCTAAAAAGCCTCCGCCCACCACGAGCACTGAGTGAGGTGGGAGATTTCTACGTTGCATGAAGGGAACCGCCTGCAGGAGACCTGGTTGTTACCTGGCCAGCAGCACTCAGCAGCAGCACACTGCCCTGGCAGGAAAGCCTTTGCATACCTGTCTTCTAGGTTTAAAATACCATTTTTTCAGCAACAGGCTTAGGAAAAATAAAGAACATTTTGATGGTATTAAGCAGGCACTGCAAGGTTAAAAAAAAAAACCAACCAAATAAAAAAACACAACAGAACAACAAAAACCTCAAAATTGTGTCACCTCTTTGTCCACAAACAGCCGATGCGAACATTTCACTAAAACTATTTACTCCTCCCACCCAGTTCCTATCTGGAAAGGCTCACAAAAATGAAAAAAATAAAACAAAAACTCACCGATTTCTTGCAATAATCTCCCAAATGCTCCTCCTACCCTCACCCCTCAAAAAAAAGAAGCAAACAAACCGAACGAGAAAGTAAATCTAAATACAATTACGAAATAAGATCGAGTTTGGCCAAGCTGTGGTGAGGAGGAGTTGAAAAATGAGAGCTGCCTTGCTGCAAACGCCATCTTGTTGCAGCTACTGGGCCCAGGCACAGAAAGATCCATTCATTCACGGCGAGAAGAAAATCAAACACACACCCTGGTTAATCGGCAGCCACCAAAACAACCACACTATTATCGTCCCTTCTCTTTCTCCTCTCCTAAGGCACACAGGGGGGAAAAGTCCCTTAAGATGTCACGTTTCAAACAAATTGAGAGCTGAAGAGCGTCTGCGTTTTCTGTATGCCTTTCACACACATCGGCAGCGTTTTGTCTCGATGCACACATCCTTGTGGCTGGCAGATCAGCTTAAAATACGGGATAAGTCTCACGATTAGGGGCAGTAAAACCTTTGATTTTCTGCTCTTCCATCGCCTCTCCCAGCTGAGCCACCAATTCCCCAGAGCTGTCCCCAGGACCCCTCGCATTCAATCCTTTCCTCCTATTTTCTGCTGTGGGGACAATGCATAATAACGTGGCATAAGGATGCCTTATTTTAAACCAGTCCCACCTCTGACTGGAGAATAATACAAAACATCACATTTGTTAATATTCCAGATCTCCTTTGGGAATAATAAATTGACATCTTTTATATCATTCTGATTTCCTTCTAGATAAGATTATTTCTTTAATTAAAACGGCTTTTTTTTTTTTTTTTTTTTTTTTTTGTTAAATGTACTTCACACCATCAGGAGAATTTCACACAAAGCTGTAGAAATAACAATCCTCTCATTTAAAAACCCTATTAGACGGGTTAAAAAGACGACGAAACAAATAAAGAATCAAAACCACCTCGATAATAATAAACCGGGAGCAGAAACGGCACTCTTAACATCTTCAAGGAGAAAAAGCTCCTTTTTCCTCTCGCAGGAAACACCCTCCATGATCTTCCTGACGGCTGCTACAGGCACAGCGATATGCAGAGCGGGGGGACGACGACGTGCCAACAAAACGCATCCTCGTTCCCATTTTAACGGGAACAAAACGTTTTCTGCCCGTCCCCCCCCGTCCCCCCCCCCAAAAGGACCCCACACGCAGGGCTGGAGCCGTCTCACCCCTCGTGTGCCTCACCCTCCTCTCTCCGTCAGCTTTCCACCATTACAGCAGCCACACCACAGCTCCTTTTTCTTCACTTTCTCTCCCAGCGTTCCTCCCTCCGGTTCGATTCCTCTGGAAACTCACCGTTCCCCACCTCCAGCCCCTCTAACACAAGGCGCTACGGCCCTAACGACCATTAAAAATGGAACCCCGCAAAAATCCCAAGCTCCCCTCCCTTGGTGCCACCCCCACCTTCTTTTTTTTTTTTTTTTTTTTTTTTCTTTCTTTATTTTTTCCACCTCCTCCTCTCCCAGCTCCAAACACGCTTCTTTTTTAGGGGAGGCTCGAAGGGCGGTGGGGGGGGGGGGGGGTCGTTCCACCCCGCCATGCTGAGGGCGCCACGCCGCCCTTCCCGCCCAGAGCTGAGGAGACGGCAGAAGGGGCGAGCAGGAGAGGGGAGAGAGAGGCGGAAAACGGGAGGAAGGAGGGAAAAGAGAAGTGCGGCAGCAATGGGGAAGAACGGGGGGAGGGGAGCGGGGTGGAAGGGCGCAGCCACGCAGAGGAAGAAGGAACCAGGGATGGAGCGGAGTGCTGAGGGAAGATGGCCTCAGGGTGGGGCCGCGCTGAGGACAGGGGGCTCGGCGAGCCCCGCAGGGGAGAGAGGAACGCCAAAAGGCTGCTGTGCGGCCGTGCCGCCCCGCCCGCCGCCCTTTCTGCCCCCTCACACGGTTACCTGCCCTTCCGGCCGCTGCTCATCAACAGGGCCGCTCCGGCCGTCGCCCGCGGCTCCTGCCCGCGTCCCCGCCGGCCTGAGGTGGGGAAGGGGCGGCGGCGGCGGAGGGGAGGGGGAAGCCGCCCGCGCTGCGCTCCTGAGGCAGCGGCTCGGGCCGGGGCGTAGACTCGGAAGGAGCGACGGAGCGGGGCGGGAGTGCTAGCAGGTCTCGGCTCCTCCTCGTACACTCGGGCCCCGTTCAGCTCCCCGCAGCCATCGGGAAGCGAGAGCCTGGGCGCGGTTAACCTCCCCCCCCCTCCGCCCCGCCCGTGACTGCCCGGCCGGGAAACCCCGGCTCGGCTCGGCTCCCCGCTCCGCCCCGCTGCCGGCCCCCGGCCCCGCCCTCTCCGCTCCGCTCCCCCACGGGCGGTGGCGATTAGGGTTGCTGCGCCTCGGGCCTCGCCGCCTCGACGGCGGCCGCCGCTGCTCGGGCGGGAAAGGCGCGCCTGCGCCCCTCAGGCGCGCGCTGCGATGCGGCGCTCAGTCGGGCAGCGCTCGGTCAGTCGGGCGGCGGCCGCGCGGAAGGCTCTACTGACAGGAAGGGGCGATTCGAACGACTGCCGGCCTCCTCCCGCCCGCCTCGCTCTGGTTCCTCCCCGTAGCGCGAACAAAGGGCGCGGGCGGGTTTCGCTTTCTGCCCCTCCGCGCCATGCTGCCGCGCCCAGGCCGCCCCTCACGGCTCCGCGTTTAGGAGCCGGCCTGAGGCAAACGGGGTGTGTAAACGGCGGGAAATCGGAGCAAAAACAGGGCTGTTTTGTTTTTGTTTTGTTTTGTTTTGTTTTGAAGCGGAGAGAACAGTGTTTGAAGGAACGGCAGATACCGTTTTACTGCTGTTAAAAGGACATTGAGTGTAAGAGTTGGCGGCTGTTAAGCATAATGGCGGGGGAAGGGGCTCGGAAAGGCGCCTGGGAAGCAGTGAACCCCCGTTGTGTCACAGTATTTCCCTCAGAGATTTCAGAATGTGGTACAGCACATTCAGCTTACAACTTCCTGGTTTTTATTATCTATTATTTATGAATTCATATCAGAAAGGTTTTTTTGCGTGGCTAAAATCCTCAGGGTTTGTTTCTTCCCCCATTTTCATATTCCTCCCACGAACGCCCATCTCTCTGTAAGGCATTGCAGAAAAGAGCAAGTAAAAAAAAACCAAAACCACCACAAAAACAAAACCAAAAAAATCCAATTTCTGTGTTACAGAGCAGACTTCCCCCAGCCTAGGCAGGAGAGATATTCACAAGATGGAATCACAACAGCACTCACACATTTAAACTTCATTACTTATTGATGAAAAGTGAGTACGCATTGCATCTTTTTTTTTTTTTTTTTCCTATCAAGCACATCTATATCTCTTTTTTCCCCCATATTTGTTTATACTTTGTGAAGTTGAGCAGTGAGGAGATAGCCTTGCTGCCTGAGCAAATTTGAACTTCTACTTGCCATCACGTTTTTGGGGAAGGCGGGTGTGATTACCTGTAATTAGTGAGAGGTTTGTCAATTAACTGTAAGGAAGTGAGTGAGCTGTTATTCAGGGTGTCTGTTACGAATAACTGTCCGATCCTGGTGTGATTAAGCCTTTGTTTTATAATAATCAAATGCTTAAGTATGCCATGTGCTGAGCAAAGGCTCTAGTTCTTTGCCCTGAGATCTACAAAAGAAGAAAAATACTGAAATTAGAATAAAGGGCTCTCCAACTATAGCCCCAAATTGATGCTGTTCTATCACCACAGGAATATAACTTCTAATATATCCCCACAAATAATGGTGTGCATGGTGGCCAAGAATTAGCCCCTCACAACCTGCATACCAGAGGTTCCATAGGTTTTATGTCTATAAATGTTCCTGAGACTGGATAGAGATTGGTTTAGCATTCTGCAAAATATGGATTGAATTTAACTGCTTATGGAACGAGAAGTTACAGATGCTTTCAAAGTATTCTAGAGATTTCAAAAACAGTTACACACAACCCTGCTATATTTAAGTTTAAAAAAGAAACAAAGAAAGAAAGAAAGAAAAGTATAATACGTAAAGGATTCTTTAAAAGGCTTTGTTTTACCAAGAAAGATTTGTACGTGCTAGGAGAATTTGTGGAAATTTCAGGTAAAGCTGCGTGATCCAGAAGAAATCTGTGTAATGAGCAATAATGGAGTTCTGAAGTTCATAACTAAGAGTAAATCACATTTTCTGCCTTTGAGTGGTGACGTGGAAACATTATTAACTATAACATAATAAAATAATGTATTTCTTTCCCCATTGCACATACGTTATCGTACAAACGCTACTATTCTCCTTTATAATTCTCCTATATGCTTCTAGTAACAGCACAATTTGAATGCCTAAGTGTTTTCCCTTTTTAAATTAAAATACATATTCAGATCATATCCTATCCTAGAAATCTAGTGATTTTTGCACTACACTTTTTATGCATTCTCTGTCATGTCAGAGCTGAACAGAGTCTCTTGCCCCCAGGTTTGTACTATGCCAACTCTTTAAATCCATGCAATTTGGGTAAGGAATTGTGAAAGGCCAAATAGGTTTATACCTGCTGAGTGACAACTCGTTCTGTCACCACACCTATCCTTTTGTAAAAACACAGCTGTTGCAGTGGTGCCTGCTTCAGACCCAGAGATTTAATTATGTCTCATCTTCATGAAAACTTTGATTGACAACCAAGTTCTGCTACTGGTATGAGGAGAGCTTATGATGATTGGAAATGGTTGCTTACAGGGTGGAGGGTTGTTTGACACAGGGTGAATTTTTAATTTGGTTCTGTGGTTGGTTTCTTTTCCTGTAAATCCGACCAGACTGATCAGTTCTTCATTTTGAAGTTCCAGAAGAGAAACATTGCACAGCACAGTGTTTCATTCTGTTGTCTTCACACAGCCTTGTCCTGGATACCACTGTGCGTGCATTATATATGATTCAAAGTGAAAAAAAGTTTCAAATACTTATCAGTATTATTGAATGTGTGAATTTCTCTTTGGTACCACTTCAGCTACAAGCAGTATTTTTTACCTTTAAAATAAAAGCTAAAATTGGCTGGTAATACATTGATGACCAAATACATGTAATCAGCCAAAGAAATCTGCTTTTTAATGAATACAGCAAATTAAAATATCCAAAATAGATGGGAACTGTAACTCACAAGTTCACAAAATAGCTCACTTCTCATAGGAGCTTCCTTACATGCTAGGACTAGGCCTACTGAAGCAAAAATAGTGGTTTTCCTTAAGAAGCTTGATTTAGATCTAAAGAAAACCTCCTGTAAGCAGGTTGCTCCATAGTTCGCAGTTGCAAACTGTCTTCCAGCTTTTTCTCAATCATTTTTATATTAACCCCTTTACTGAGAGCATGCCAAATTAGGTAAGTCTTTAGGAAGATTCACTACTTTGTATGTTTTTTTTCAGTTGTTTCCAACTGAATGACAAAACTACTCGTCTGTCATAGTTGGTGTGTCACCAGGACACCTGTTTTTGCAGGCTGTTCTGTCATTCTAAACCTGCGTGTTTCAGCACACCACAGCACGCTGGTGAAGCCGTGAAAAATCATTGTTTCAAGCCATTTGTAGATCAGAAAAGAAGTAGTTAAAGCGTTCATCCCAGCACGCATTACTGTGAAACTTTCAAATGGAGAGCAATCGTGCCACACAGTTTCATATTTCTACCAACTCACAGGTTATCTGCTTACAGGATGTCTGCTTAAGGAGCTCCAGTATCTGCATACACATCAAACCTGCTTTCTGGCTTTCAGCCTCCAGGCTCTGCTTTCACTCTTACACGTATGTGACTGCTATCAACTGATAGAAACGAGGGTTACTGAGAGGCTTTAAAACATCAGTGAAATGCAGAGTTAGGAACCTTGACTGTCAAAAACCACCATGTTTCTTCCCTGATCTGAGATAGTCTTGAAACACATAAGAAGGATGGAGAATTTCCAAGGAATGGGAGTCCTGGGATGTTTCTTACACGCTGTTCTTTTCACATCACAGTCATCAGATCTGTAAAACTCTGTCTTCTGCCTGCAGGATGCTGTACCATGAAACAGGGGCCCAGGCAGCCGTGCGTCCTGCTCAGACATTCTGCTGCAGAGGTAATAACCTTGATTATGTACTTGACAGATTGTGTTAATGAAGTGCTTCAGGAGTCTCAGCTACACTCTGTCAAACATACAGCTCTGCCTTTAACACTAAAGAATTAGAAATAAAGAGCTGGAAGGGATAGCAGAGTTTTGAGTTCAGTAGATCACACGACAAGTAACCGTACCGTGTGATGTCCCTTGGAAGATGTGGAAACTCCATCTTAAAGTTAGTTAGTTTCCCTTTGCTAATCAAGTCCTCTTGTAAAGTGATTTGCCTTGCAAATTCTTACTGCATTGTTTAAAAACAGTAAAGTTATGATTTAATAATGCCACGATGCAGTATGCTTGGAAGAATTCATACTGGGTATCGATCAGTGTGACAGTTAAAAACAGTTGCTTTCCCTACACTTCAGCAATAAGAAATCTTGTCCAAAAGCAGAAAGGACAGATATCACATAGTCCTGAGAGATGTTCTTGTTAAACAAGAAGAGCAAGGACATAACTTGGTCCCCAAAGCATTACTGAAGTACAAGTTTTATTTGCAAGTGAAATCGCATTGCGTACTGTTTATAAATGTATTATATTCATGTTTTACTGAATATTTTGTCAGCATTTTTAGGAATTTCTTAGAATCTAACACAATTTTGCATTAGAACAGAATTGTTACTGCATTATTATAATCAGAACATACACACTGTATGAATAAACGTACTGCGTGATTCTTAAAACTTCAGACACTTCTGGACTCTGAAAGTATAACCATCACCAATCAGGTATAAATTAGACTTCCTAGAGAAAGGGCAAAACTCAGCACCTATCAAAATTACAGAGCACCTCAGAGGGTATAAAAATACTTGAGAAGTGGTAAATATAGATATTTTTAGCCTACTTCTCCATTTGCTACTTCCTAGGTGAGTGTTTCTAATGGATTTACCCAAAATAACTCAGAAGAGCACCTCATATTCCAGAATCATGCTATCTCCCATTCCAGGGTATTTTGCCTGCATTTGTGTCCTTTGATTTCAGAACCGTGTACAAAAAATATATATATATGCAGAGATTCATAGAAAATGAAATGAAGCTGATACAGTGTTTGCATTCACTCTGAAATCCTTTGGGAAAAAGAAAATCCATGTCTGTGATCTAAGGAGAACAGCTGTGAAGGCCTGCACTATTCCTATAGATTTCATTCTGCTCCATCAGTGTGCATATTTATTATTGTGAATGTGATAAACAAATCAATATCAACAGTATATTCTAATTCTTGACAGAGCCAGAGTAAGTTACATGAGGCAGTACACACTGGTGAACATGTCCCAAAAGGCAGTATATGTTTTCTGGTTTTTTATTAATTCTGGTTGAGGCAGTTTTATTTCCAGCAGAAAACTCTGTTCAGTTCCTGTTGCCCTGTGACCCAGTTAAGGTCAATGCTTTATGCATCTCTGACTTCAAGAATCATAAAAAATTATTGCCTACTTCCTGGAGGTGACTGTTACATGTAGCATATCTTTCAGCATTTCCTAAGGCCAAAATATGTCACTACTCTTGTTTTAGACATAGGAAACTGATGCATATCCATGTAAAATTACTTAGCTGCTACTACCCAGCAGTTTGCAGAATGAAGTGAGAATGGTAGTGCTGCTTGAACCTGGATCTGGCATTCCTTGCAGTCAGTGCCATAATTCTGTACTGTGATACAATCTTACAGTGTGATCCAACTATGTAATTTTGCAACCTATATTTATACTTGTTCTACAAAGTAACAGAATTTGTCATCTGGGAGTAAGCTGTTCTGAATTTTCCTCTGCATTCAGCTTCCAACCTTGAAACATGTATGTGTGTCTCAAGGTTGGTCCAAACCCAGTTGTATACTTCCAAATTCCCTTCTTGTCTCTCCCCCTCTCTCCTTCCCCAGCCCCTTGCTGTTTGAACAAACCTATTTAGAGAGAGCAGAGAGAGCCAGAAGGATGGGGTAGGGTTTTTTGTGCTTGTTCTGTTTTTCATTCATATTCAAGTATGAATTATAAGGGGGGAGGGGGGAAGCTAAACTAATATCTTTAAGCTTAGAAGGCCATAACTCAGTTTCTTAGAAGTCCTTTGGAGCTGGAGCATGTCAAAAAGTCTGTAGAGCTGCCCTACCTTGGCAGATGGATATTTTTCAGTATCCTTAATAGCATGAAACAAACATAGCTGGTGTTGCACTGGTTTGAAACACAGCAAATATTGCTAGGAACAAAAGAGAGTATAGAAAATAAAACATATAGGATATATGAAAACAATTTTTTCCAAAAGTCTCTTGTCATATAACAAACATAGGCCCTTCAAAACTGAGGAAGATCTTAATTAGTAAGGGCACAGACATTAACAAACAAACAAGTGAAATTGTGTTCCTGTATGGATCCCTCTCCTGCAGCTAAAATAGCCACAAAGGGCATTGTTATTGTTCTGTTAAGATCAGGTTCTACAGTGTATCTATAGATATAAGCATACATGCAACCAACTCCACACCTCTGTGTCTTCCTTTACGTAAATGATCTTTTCAGTAACATTTCAGTAGCATTAATGCAGATGAAGCAGTTTGAGTAAAGGCTTACAGCCTAGTATTTTCCCCTTTAAAGGGACTTTCCTCAAGGGAATAATTGTCTCATTGGGCAACTAGGAGAAAAACAACTGGTATCCTGGAGATGCTGGGGATTTAGGATCCACATTGAGAATTCAGCCTGGCTACTAAACTTTCCATGAGGTCAGATGCGTCAGATCTGCAGTGAAGTTTGCCTTTGGGAAATACCTTCAAGTACGAAAAAGAATTTGCTTATCTAGCTAACGTGTCAGATTCCTATAGAACATTCTTCTGTCCTTGACAGCAGTTCCATGAAGTGGGCTCAGGTGTCACAGTGAAGCAGCTTATCAAAGACTGGAATTATTGATCAGGGTGTTGCTTCTTAGAGAGCTCTATACCTTTTTCTCCATTGCTGCAGCTGCAGTAAAGCATCAGTGCTCCTGCAGACTCCAGAAAACAAAGCTGCATTCATAAGACAAAAATATTTGGAGTAAGGGACTTGTATTGCTGTCTTTGGGGAATCTATGCTTAGCCAAACAAAGCCTATCTGTGATACATGATAAGGCATGCTTAGAATTTCAGTAGAAATTCAGTAGTCATTCATTTAATTGCAAGAGATAATAAAATGAGTAGATTCAATAATGGTTACATCCTGTACTTCAAAAGTAAGCATTTATTTGGGAAAGGATGCTGGAATTGAGCAAATTACAGTCTGAAGAAGGAGGTAGGCTTCTATCATCCCTGTCAAGCAAAATTGGCAGCTGAGTTCCGCCAACCACTCAGTAAAAGATAAAAAATGTACGCAATCTTATTGTTTCAGAAACAGCTCCAGAAAAATCTGTGTGGATGTTATATAAGGTGTATAGAGCTTATTTATAGATTGCATGACAATTTGCCTGGCTGGCTGCTTACTGGCCCTAAGAGCTTTATGAACTGAAGATACAAAACAGGCAGGTCAGGAAATCAAGTTAGGAGAGAAGCAGTAAGAATCACTGGTCATCAGGTCCCAAGGTACGTGGGTTTGGGTGCATGTACTGTGCTACAGCAGTCTTGGGCAGGAAAACAGTGCATGGAAAACACAGAAGGAAAAGTTCATACTGAGTATATCAAACCACAGGCTGAGCAGGCTCAATGGTGTGTGATTCCAGGAGAAGTCCCTATTGCATTGCATTTCCTCACTCACTGCAAGAGAGAGAATTAGTATGAGAAATTCATGAAGATCACGGGAAGAGATGAAGCGGGGAAGCTTCTTTACAGAATTGAGTTGCATTAAAGCAAGCTAAAGGAGTTAAGTGTTATAATGCAGGACTCATATCAACTGTGCTATTCAGCTGCTGCTAAGAAAGAAGATTTGAAACAAAGGCTGGCTTTCTTCTATCTCTAAAAAATAACCTCCTTTGTACAGGAGTGTGAGCCTAACTTATAAAAAAGTAACTTTCTGCTGACCTCTAAATTCTGTTATAGTAAACATCCCAGATCTCAAACCAATCATCCAAACGAGATCCTGATTCTGCAAAACCTTTTCTTGTGAGCACCTGTTAGAGAAAGATGTGCTTATAAAATTCAGGTTTCCAAGCAACAAAACAAAACAAAACACACGTAAAGTGAAACATCTCTCAGGCCACTACCCAGGGGAACTGGTGGAAGCAGTTGCCTTATTAGTAAAGACTGATTTTCTGAAGCCAAGCGATGGTACGCCAAGGGTCCGGGAAAGATTTTGAGTTACTTGAACATATGACATGCCCTTTGTCTTAATAGAGCCATTATTTCACTGTGCCTGCCTGAATGCTTGGGCTGGTTGTGAAAACAATCAAACATAGAAGCTCTTAACCTGTAGTACCAGAATAAATCCTGTTAGAGAGAAGAAAGATGGGCACACGCTGCAGCTGTACTGCCCATAAAGTGGGCAACTTCAGTTATTCAGTGCTGGATAAGAAGGAACATGCATAGTTTATTTCTTCTCTAAAAAAGAAAAAAGTAAAGCACTAACATGACTTTCTCCTTTCATTCCACCTTCTCCCCAGTATCCATAATTCAGCTAAATACAAAACCCTGTGTTGAAAACCATTGAAGAAAGAAAATAATTTTGAAGTCATGACTTGTACTTCTTAAAGAAATTACTCTTTTGACAACACTTGTTGTAAAGATGAGGGATGTTTTGCTTTTTATATACAACGTAGACCTTTCCACACTATGCATTTCACAAGCACTATCCTAGCCTCTCCTCTGTGCTGTTGTTTACATATATATAACAGCAGCAGAACAATCTCAAGAACTGTTGGTGTTTCCAATTTTGAGGTTAAGCACCAAAGCCTCCAAGTAAGCGAAATCCCACCTGAACTTCAGTGAACCCTGAAGGGTTTAGAGCTAGAAAAACAAGCAAACAAACCAGGAAAACAGTACTATAGAATGCTGACATATCAATATGGTATCCATCAGCTAATGAAAAATA